AGTAGTGAGCTACTGTGAATGTAAAAGAAGGGAGGGAAGTAAAGTCAAGAAGAAGTGGTATATGTAGCTATGCCAGGGGGGGCCTTTGTTGAAGTGGTGAAATGTTAGCAAAAATCTGAAAGAGGTGAAGGAGTTAGTCAAGCAGATTAGAGAGAAAGAACAATTCAGGCTAAAGACAGAGTGTGAGTCTTAAGGTAAAACTGGCCAGGAACGTTCAAGGAACAGTGGGGGAAAGTCAGCGAAGGAGAAATAAGAGCAACCAATGAAACAAATTCCAAAAGATTAGGAGCCAGTGATACACAGAGCACAGGCAAGGGATTAGCTGAAGTCAGAGAGAATAACCTTTCTCAGGCTGGAGAAAAGAAGAGAAGGAGGGCGCGGGGGGGGGGGGGGGGGGGGGGGGGGTTGTCAGAAGAGAATGGGGGAGACTGAAGGAACCTGTGCCTTTTTTTTTTTTTTTTTTTTTTTTTTTTTGTGAGGTAGTAGATACATTTTCTGCTAAGCAGAGGCAGTGGGAAGTTTAAGCCACTCACTGTGAACATCCTGAGAAGACCAAGCAGACCTGTTTCAGCAAACATGAAAGACAAATGGAGAGACTCCACACTGACAGTAGCATTAATCCCCAGCCCTTTGTGAGGCTTCTCCATGAAAACAGAGTAAGAACAGAAGGTATGGATAGCAGGAATGACTCAAGCTGGCCTGTGGATAGTAGGCCTTCAGAAGAGTAAAGAATCGAAAACAGCAACGTTGATATTGTATGAAAGGGGCTGGAGCAACGAATCCCAGACGTGACAGTGTGGGAAAAGAAGAGAATAAGAGCCTTGGAGACTGAACACGGGAATACACAAGCAGAGATTACAGGGGTGAGGACTGTAAGTTATCAGGGTTTAAGATCGGACAGCAATCTGAGATCTGAAAGTGATGACATGTTAAAAGATGTGGCACAATACTTAAAAGAACCAAGCCAGGGTTTGAGCAGAAGTGAAGCAATCTGAAGGGAAGGGTGGTCTCTAAGCAAGTCAGCACAATAACTAACCTCGATCTAGCGATGGTAGGGAAGTCATTTAGCATGTTTAAGTTTCTTCACATGAGAAATAGGGACAATAACTGTATGGAGTTGGTATGGTTGCCTATGAATTAAATTAATAAATGTGCTTACAAAACGGTCTGACATATAGAAAGTGCTCAGTATCAGTACAATACTTTATCATTACTGCTGCTACTACTATTGTTTATTTATAGAGCTACTGACATCTGCCAAGACGATGTGAAAAATCTGTGAGGCCCAGGGTACAATCTTTAGCAACACAAAAGTAACAATAAAATAAAATTGGAATGGAAGGGAAAACTAAGTCAAAGGGTACCCAAGTTACCAAAGGGGTAAATGACAGAAGACTATATAACTGAATGACAAGCTATGTTGTAAACAACATGATAGTAAATCTTTAAAATGTAAAATTAAATTTAAAAGTTTTATGGGGTTGGGGATTTAGCTGAGTGGTAGAGCACTTGCCTAACAAGTTCTAGGCTCTAGGTTCAGTCCTCAGCTCCCCCAACCAAAAAAAGTTCTTGTATCCAACAGATATTTTCAGTCTTTTAACTTGAATCACATATGCAGCCACAAACAATCACAAAATCATTCATACTATACAGCATGAAAAAGAGAAAAAAGGCTGACTGAAAATCACAGAAACTTCCAGAGCATAAGCAGCAGTACACTAACTGCACTAAAATAAAGGAAGATGGAGTCCAAGTACAAATGGTAGAGCTCACATTCTTTTAGGACAAAGACCTGAATCTATATATGGGCTGGAGTATCTTCTAATGACTATGAGAACAAATCAGTCACTGAGCTGTTAACCAAAAGAAAAAAAGAAAAATCCAAATTCACAAGATTTCCCTATCATAGCCAAATCTGTTTAATGTCTTCTACACCAAAATAAAGGTGTATATATTTATTCTCTCTCTTGGGTATCTAAAGACCTCTTTCAAAGGGAACTTTGTGAAACAAGGATGATACACCTTTAACTTCAGGGCACTGTGAAATTCTATCACATCAGTGTATAGAACCACAGGGATATGCTTACTCCTGGGAAAGGCTTATTACCGTGAGTAGCCTGGGAAGGGGTTTAAAAACAAGGCAGCAAAGACTCACTGTTGTCCTTTATTCTGTACACAGAACAAGACCAAAACTAAAAAAGTAGGCTAGAAAGCTTTGGCCTTGGAAACTGTTGGCATACTTTTCTTGGGCAATAATTTATTCCCTGCACAAATTTAGTAGAAAAAAGAAAACTGCACTCATATCTGGTCTTGAAATGGGAAACAGTCTGCCCTATGCCTTAGAAACTGTACTTAATTGGATAAATTCCAGAAAAATATTCAACAGTGAAGATCTATACAGACTTAAGAAATCTTTCCTCACTTCAGATTCACAATCAGGTCTGATTTTATCAAATGCTTAAATTATATTTAATCACAGTTCTTTACATATACTTACAACTATTTCTTATTTTTGATATGGAATCATAAAACAGACATTCTGTATTTCTTGAATATTAATGTACTGGAGAAACCACTGACTTCAGGCTAGAGAGACAGCTCAGAAATGAAAGCTCTTCAGGACCCTCCTTTAGTTCCCAGCACCCATATGGGGACTCACAACACCTGTCACTCCAGGTCCAGGGGGTCCAAACCCTTGCTGTCCTCAGAGGGCAGCAGGCACACACACAGTGCAAGCAAAACACTCACACACATAAAATAAATCAAAACCAAAAAAACTAGTACCTGTTGAAGTTTAAAGAGATTGCTTAATGATAAAAATTATAAAAAAATAAAGTGTGTTGAGTTCTCTTACAAAAAAAACACTGGGGGCTGGGGATTTAGCTCAGTGGTAGAGTGCTTGCCTAGCAAGCGCAAGGCCCTGGGTTCGGTCCTCAGCTCTGAAAAAAAAAAAAAAAAACCACTGGAACGTGTTTTTAATAGTTATTCTTAAGTAGACAGAAAAATTAAAATAGAAAAAATTTAAATAAAGAACTGATGCATTAAAACATGGAATATGGGCCAGGCGGCCATGAATCCCAGCACTCGGGAGGCAGAGCTGGGCAGATTTCTGTGATTTCTAGGCTAGCCTGGTCTATAGAGCAAGATCCAGGACACACACCAAAAAACGACACAGAGAAACTGTGTCTCGAGAAAAAAAAAAAAGGGAAATGGAGGGTGGGAATATAACTCAGTAGTAGGTAGCTTGTCTAACATGTCTAAGACCTGGGTTGGATCTCCAGCCCCCACCCATTGCCAAAGAAAGACTATATATATATATATATATATATATATATATATATATATATATATATATATATATATAGTCTAAATTGAAGGGCATAAAGAAGACAGGAGTCATACCATCTCCCCAGGTCCTGTGCATGTTCAAAATATAGGAAAACACATTTACAGGCTCACTCTGAACCCAGTTATTGATCATTTCTAGATGTACTTTAAAACACCAGTATGCGTAATCTTCATAATCCATCCTCAAATAGCACATTAACAACTTCAATTACTTCATAATCAGTATCAACAAAATTAGAAAAGACTATCACACTTCTCAATGAAAATACAAGCTAAAATTTTGTTATGACTAAGCCAAGTGCACAGCCTGTAAATAAAATATCACCCATAATATCGTTTTTTAACGGTTATTCAAACCCAATCACCACTTTCTCTGGGTTAAGACAGGCACATCATGACACAAAGCAGCATGCTCGGTGTTGGCAGAACAGCTGCTTGGAACAGGGAGAGAGAGCTACATAAGCAAGAGATCTGTTGACAATCTAATTTAGGCTACCTCTAGATTCCACAACGATGACAACCTGCATCCTCAGAAATACTGCTGCAAGTCTTCTCGGTTATCAGAACATTCCAGTTTACTAATCTCCGCAATGTTGAGGTACTATGCAAATCTATCCACGTAATGAAATATGCTGAGAGTCTCCAACATGGTAAAGTGGCCTTCACAGAGGAAAGGCATCAACAGGCCTTCGAGAGCCAAAGCAGCAATGGATATCGGTGGTAAGTACAGCATCACAGAATTTCATCCCAACAAGAATGGAATCTTCAAGCCAGTTTACCCTGAAGGCTCGTATAGCAATTCACAAAAGAGAAAAGGTGATTTGGGAGCTCAATTTTGCTTTTATAGTCGGCGAGGGTTTGCGTTGCATGAACAATGACTGGCTTGCTCCAAGCGGCCTCCCAACCCCCACAACTTGGCTTCTGGTGCGGCTAGTCACCCTGAAAGCTGCCAGGGCTGTCACTCGGTGCCTTCCAGCAACCGGACTTGGCTCCTAAACGATTTGTCAGATCATCCTCCCAATATGGCTGCCAGAGTAATCCTGGTCGGCTCAACGTCGAGCCCACACCAGCCTTCCTCCCTGCTGGCCAGCATCCAACAAGCCCCCTCCCTTTGCATCCTTCCTCGGTCTAGCCCTTGAGCCCTCCGCGCCACCGGATGCCCTTTCCTACCTTCATCGGGCACAGGGGCATTGCCACATTCCCAGTCAGAACCCTGATGCCAATCACAATGGGGGTGAGAGGAAAGAAGGGGAGAAAGACCAGCTGGCTTCAAGGCGGGCAGGGCCGGCTCCCCCCGAGCTGCAATGTGCGCAGATACGGCGGGACAGCGACGGCTCTGCTGGCCCGCGGACAGAGCGGGGCCTGGCAGCCCGGGGGAAGCGGAGGGCCGGTGCAGGGCACTGCGGGGGACCGGCAGGCCGCTGGACGAGGGCCCGGGGCTCGCGGCCGGCCGGCCAGGGCTGTCCACCGAGGGCGAGGCTCCTCACCGCGGACCCCGCACCCCGGCCGGCCGCGCCGCTTCCTCGCTTCGCCCAACCCCCTCCCCAGGCCCGACCCCAGCCCGAAGTCTGTCCCGCGGGAGCGGCCCCCTTCGCCGGCGCCGCGGCACCACCGCCCACCTCCTCTCAGCCGCCCCACCTCCGCCTCCTCACCTCAGCCGCGCTGCGGACCGACGGGCGAGCCGGCCGAGTCAGAAGACGCCGCGGCGCGCAGGGGCGCGGGAGGCCGGGCACCGACGCACCTCAGCGCGAGCAGCGGCCGCCGGGAGCCGCAGGGCGCCGCTCCGCAACCCCATCACGCGGCCGCCCAACTCTGCATCGAGGACTGGCGGGAGGCCGGGGCGCGGCGGTGGATGCGGCGAAGGAGCAGAGAGAAGCTCGGACGCGAGCTGTCTCCTCCCAGGTCCACTGCCGTCTGACTACACCGCGTCGCAGCTCGCCAAACTCCGCCCGAAGCCGCCGGCGCGGGACACCGCCCCGAGCTAGAGCGCCGCGCGTCACTCCGGCCCGCCCAGCAACCGAGACCGACGCGGAAGACGACCAATCGAGATGAAGATCTTGGGAAGGACGACCAATAGTAAGGCGAGTCCGTCAGAGGGGGCGGGAGATGCTGGCGGAGCGACGGAGACACTCGAGCGCCCCCTGCTGGTCCAGGAGCCGATGCGGGTGCGGGCGTGTCGGGTGGGCGAAGCCGGTGCCCAGAGTTCCCTCCCGGGTGACCCTCCAAGGGTGTTAGTGGGGAGTAGCCGCGCCTGTGTGGCCGGATGACCCGCTTCGTAAAGGGACAAAAGGTTGCCTGAGTGACAGGGCAGGACTGGACGGTCCAGCTGCCATCCGAGAGCTGGGATTATGTGGGAGCGGCCGAGTGTGGAGTCATTGTCCGTTTGGAAAACAGCTCACACGGCGATGCCGCCGAGCCCGGCGCGGTGGGAAGGGAACCACGCGCAGGCATGAGTGTATCCAGCAGAAAGCTTCCTGGCCTATTCTTGTCGAGCCCCAGCACAACACCTCCCACACGCCACCTTGGGAGAAAAGGAGGAATGAGTAATGGGAGAGCATGACTTAGTGGGCATTCAGCGTCTCCTTGGGAGACGGCGTGCTGGTGTGAGCAGAGGAACAAAACGCTTTGTATCGCGCCCAGTGAATGGACTGAGCGGCCCGTGAGAGATGGCCCTGAAGGGGCTTACCAGAACTCATGAGAACACAAAAGCTCTGCGAGCCGTGTGTTTTTAAAAAATCAGATTTGGGTTCAGCTCAAAGGAAAAGGCCCACAGCTGTTCATGAGCAGCTCAATTCAGTACTTAGTAGAAAATATCACAACGACAACCTGCCAATCACACTGCCTTTGAAGGTTGAATAACGTCTTTCGGATTTACTAGCAGAAACTGAAAGTAAGATAAGATTTTTTCTTTCTCACCCCTGACTTTAATACAGTATTTTTGGGTAGAAAAAGGCCTACACACTAAAACATGAAAATTAACCTTCTACACTAATGATTCTGAAAAATCACCATGCCACTGAAGTAGACTCCCCAGTTATTCTACGTTTATTGGACATTTCTCATTGTATTTATTTGTTTTGTTTTGTCGTCTCGCTTTGTAGTTCTGACTCTCCTAGAACTCACTATGTAGACAAGGCTGGCCTCCAACCCACAGAGATCTGTCTGCCTCTACTTCCCAACTGCTGAGATTAAAGACATCCCCCACAACAAATTAGAATTTATACTTCACTTTTCCACAAAAAGATTTGATGGAATTTATACTGAAACAAACAAGCAATAAAATTGCTTAAAATATTAGGAGGAATGATTTTGTGAGTTGAAGACCAGCCTGGGCTACATAGAGAAACCCTGTCTCCAACAAACAGGGCCAGTCAAGATGGATTTGTGAGTAAAGGTGCTTCTGATGAAGCCTAATAATCCAAATTCCATCTCTAGAATCCATGTAAAAGAGGAAGGAGAGAACCTACTCAACACATGGATACACACTTCACACACCACACCATAATAATAAATTAAAATTTTGCCGGGTGGTGGTGGCACATGCCTTTAATCCCGGCACTTGGGAGGCAGAGGCAGGCGGATCTCTGTGAGTTCGAGGCCAGCCTGGTCTACATAGTGAGTTCCAGGACAGGCACCAAAACTACACAGAGAAACCCTGTCTCAAAACACCAAAAAAAAAAAAATTAAAATAAAATAAAATTTTAACAGACAAAAATATTAATAAAATAAATAAAACAAGAAGTTGACCTGAAAGTGTAGCTAACTTGTGGAGCACTTGTTTAGCTAAATATGGGAGGCCCTGAGTTCAGTGCCTAGAATGAGGAAGAGGAAGAGATGAATCATAGAGTATAGAGAAGCGTTAATGGGTTTGCACCGGAGCACGAGGTTCTGATGTGCTCTCGCACAGTAGAAGGTCCATAGGTAGCAATAACACGCTGTGCACTTCAGAAAACTAGGAGAAAAAGCTTCAGAAGCTTTCAGTATGAAGAAGCAATGTTTGAGGAGGGGCTGGAGAGATGGCTCAGCAGTGAAGAGAGCTTCCTGCTCTTGAAGAGGACCTGAGTTCAGTTCCCACTAGCTGCATTTGGGCAACTCACAGTCATCTGTAACTTTAGCTCCATGGGGATCTGACATCTCTGGCCTCCAAGGGCACCTGCACTCAGATGCACATTCCAACACATAGATATAATGTTTTAAATTAAAAAATAAATCTTTTCACAGTGTTTGAAATAAATATGCTAAACCTGAATTAAACATTATTCAATGTGTATGTGTCCAAATACAATGTGGCATCCTTATTAATACATACGATTTTAATATCTTCATACATCATAAGGCTTTTTTAAGCAAATAAAAAGCTATGAAGAAAAGCCTGCTTGAGCCAGGAATGGTGGGCATGTCTATAATTCCAGCACTCAACAGACAGAGGTAGGAGAATCTCTGCAAATTGGGAGCCAGCCTATACTATAAATGGAATAAGCTAGCCAGGGGTACATAGTGAGACCCTATCCCAAAAACAAAGCAACCAATAAAAAAAAAAAAGGCTGCTTTAGCTGGAATAAGCAGAATCAGAGAAAGAGAGGTAATTTCAAAATCCTAGAGTCAGGGAAATATACTACCTCTGAGCATAGACCCATGCCTTAGCTTCCTGAAGGCCAAGACAAGACAGAAAGTGCAATGGCGTAAAAAACAGCTCTATCGAGTCATCGGAGACACCCACTTAACCCAAGTGCAGAGCTCTGAGTATACACACCCCTAGATGGTAGTGACTATGGTTTGAACACTCAATTGAGCTCACACTAAGAAGAATCTCAGTGGAGGTATGGGGCAGCAAAAATGGAACCACCAACAGAGGCAGACAAGGCTGCTTTGTGCAAGCTTTGGACCCTCTGACGAATGAAGCATTCCGCAGTCACTCAATTGCTCAGTTAACAGATTTCTGGTAAAAGATCCTTTCCAAAGTCACAAACTACTGTGAGAGCAAATGCACCACGGTCTGATGGGGCTACCCCTGGAATGCAAGGAAATAAAAGTACAAAGAAAGTGAGAGAAAAAAGTCCTTGGCCCACAGTTAGAGAGACTCTAACATTACAGATCAGGGCTCTGTCGTGTTGACACAGGACATACACGAGAATCGGAACAGAGGAGTCAGATCCACACAAGTCGTGCAAGACAACATGACAGCACCAGGGGTCCAAGTCAGTCGCTGGGCCAACGTCACCCTTTCCATGATACTGAAGGATGCTGAAATCATCACAACAGACTGTGACATAGCAGGGCATGGTGCTGCAGACTCACTCTGGAGGCTGAGCAAGAAGGACCAGGCGTTCAAGGCAATCCTTGAGTTTTAGGGCAACATAAGCTGCATGAGATTCCATCTCAAAGAGCAATAGCAATAAATGTGGAAAACGTGATTTTTTTTCTTTATACCATATAAAATAGAAATTCACATGGGTTAAAAACGTAAATAAAAATGCATCATAGTGCCAGGTGGTGGTGGCGCACGCCTTTAATCCCAGCACTCGGGAGGCAGAGCCAGGTGGATCTCTGTGAGTTCAAGGCCAGCCTGGTCTACAGGAAAGGCGCAAAGCTACACAGAGAAACCCTGTCTCGAAAAACAAAAAACAAAAAACAAACAAACAAAAAAAATGCAGCATAGTGGCTCAGGCCTTTAACCCCAGCACTCTGGGAGGCAGAGGCAGACAGAGAGAGCTCTGTGAGTTCTCTACATAGTGAGTTCCAGGATAACCAGAGCTACATAGAGAGCTAACCTTGTCTTGAAACAAACAAACAAACAAACAAAACCTAAATAAAAAAGTAACAAAAAGATTAAAAACCTAAATTAGAAAAGGCAAAGCTTTAAGTGTTTTACAAAGTGTCTTTATGACTTTGAAATAAAATATCTTGAGACCGAAGGCACTGACTGCAGAGGACTGGTGAATTCTTCTTCAATAAAAACACATTCGCACAACAAAAGATAAGCAGAACTGCAAGCCAGCGTCAGCCTGTAATTCCAGACTGTAGAGTTCAAGGTTGCCCCTGGCTACATAATTAGTTCCAGGTCAACCTGGGAGACAGGAAAAGTAAAAAGGAAGGGAGGGAGGGAGACAGGAGAGGAGAGAAGAGGAGGGGAGGGGAGGGAAAAGGGGGGAAGGGGAGGGGGGGAGAGGAGGAATGTCATATTGTTTAGGACATCTGCATCAAGTAGAAAAATACACAGGAAAGCCTAAGTCACCAAATTCAAGATGGGGTTACCCCAGGAGAGAGAAGAAAACACCATAGAAAGCTACACGTTAGAGAGAGAGAGAGAGAGAGACAGAGACAGAGAGACAGAGACAGAGAGACAGAGACAGAGAGACAGAGACAGAGAGACGGAGAGACAGAGAGAGAGACAGAGAGACAGAGACAGAGAGACAGAGAGACAGAGACAGAGAGACAGAGAGACAGAGACAGAGAGACAGAGAGAGGGAGACAGAGAGACAGAAAGAGAGAGAGAGAGAGAGAGAGAGAGAGAGAGAGAGAGAAAGCAGGTAAAGTACTTACCATACAAGCATAAAAATCAGAGTTTGAATTATATATGGTAGCTCATATATAATTCCAGATCTTGGAAAGGAGAGACAGGACACTCACAAAGCAAGCTAGCTAGCTAGGTTCTTAGTGACTAAGGTAGAGAGCATAAAGGGAGATCCTTGACCTCAGTCTTTGTCCTCCAAAGGCACGTGCCCACACATGTGTGAACACATACACACATGCACATATGCCACACACACACACATTAAAAAAAAAGACACGCCGGGCAGTGGTGGCGCACACCTTTAATCCCAGCACTCAGGAGGCAGAGGCAGGTGGATCTCTGTGAGTTCGAGGCCAGCCTGGTCTACAGAGCGAGATCCAGGAAAGGCGCAAAGCTACACAGAGAAACCTTGTCTCGAAAAACAAAAAACAAATAAAC